CATGGGATTTGTGTTTCAGGTCATTATCTTGCTAAAAAATCCATTGATGATCCAATAATTCATTCGCATTATTATAGAGCTGATCGTCAAGAATTCGGCAATACAAATGATGATCAAGATTTTTGGTAAACATGTGCATACTGATTCTTCCTTTAACATTAATTGCAGTCCAAACATGCACTTTAAAGGGGTGCTTAACCATGAGTTGAACTGGTTTTCCATTACGGGATCATGCAAAGGTTATGTTATGAAACATTTGGATCATTGTTTCGTCAGAAAAAACCACCCTTTTTCAATCATATTGCAAATGGTCTTATGCCTAAGACAAGCGAATGTCTTTCACTTTTTGGGTCAAAAGAGGAACTTTTCGCGAAAGAACTGTTACATAACCGAGCCTAGAAAGTTCTCAATAGATAGTTGTTTCACTGATTTCTAATTTTGAATCATTTTCTACTAATATAGCCTTCAGTTTCCCAACTGTAGTAAAATAATCATGCTTAATGATCATTCTGACATGCCGACGTTTCACGGGGTTAATTTTTGTGGGCGGCCAGATCAATAAATTTCTGGAATATTACTATTTTTTCATAAAATGGCAACATATCTTTCACAAGAACGTAAAGGAACTCCAGTTTGATTGAAAATTTCCTTTGCATTATGGATATTTTTATCCTAAAGATATTTTACGACTTCACAATTTGCTTTAATAGATGTTGATGGCATTTGGTATAGTGGTAATTTAGGTTAAGTTTAAAATAAACAAATAACATTTAAGATCAGGTTTTTTTGTTTATTTTATCAAAAACAACATCATATTGCCTAAATCAGCCTAATTAATAAGACATCAAATTAGAACACCAGAAAAACTGTGACCAAAATATTATTTAATATTTCCACCGCTATTACTTTTGGCGGGACTGTATTATGATTTTTGAACTTTAAATCAGATCTTTATTAAACTTATTACAAAAAATATGCTTAATTATTATTGGATAATAATAACTGTGTAATATAATTTTGAATTTTAGTAAATATTGATTAAGAATCTAATATTTCACATTTAAATATAATAATTTAATATTATTTATCTTAAATAATATTTTAATAGCATTGATTCTAATGTTAATTTATCTAGTTTTTAATAAATATAAAATAAATAAGTTCTAATTAAATATAAATTAGAATTATAAAATTGGATTATTTTTGCAAAATTTTAATTAAAAAATCATAAAATTTTAAAAAAAATTGTTAATTATTCTGAAAATTTAATTAGTGGTAACCTATAGATAAATTAGAGATGAATTAGTAGTGATTATCAAAATATTATCATTGAAAATTATATTTTCTTTTAAAATGAAAAATTTAAAATCATGTAAAATTTAATAATTTATTGAAATTGTAATTATTAGATAATTTTGTAAATTAAATTATACGTAACATATAAAATAAAATTACAATTGCAATTTGCAATTATTAGATAATTTTGACTAAATAGAATTACTCATTACATACAAATTATTTCAAATCTCTAACATATGTTGATATAATTTTATATAAATTTATAAAGTATCTTTTTTTTTTTTCTTTAATTGTTAAAATTTTTATTTTACAATTTTTTCTAAATTTCATTTCAAAAATGTCAATCATAATTGATTAGAAGTGATAATGAAGTTTAACTTTTGATAAATAAAAGGAAAAGCAGAAATTCTAAATATTAGAATATGCTTAAAAAATCTAAATTATCTTTTTGAAAAGGAATTACAGATAAATTAAAAGAAGAATTTGATACAGAAGTTATATCTTTACAGTGTTAAGTAAAGTTTAAAGAAATAGTTAAAGATTATAAAGTAAGTAAAATTTTAATTAAAAAAGTTTATAATATCTAGTAATTGTATAAAATAAAATTTATAAATAATAAAAATTTTTAGTTATTTAAACTCTATGTAAAAAGAAAACCTAAAAAAAGGTGAAGTAAAATTAGCGAGATATATAAAGAATAATTTGTAACTCCATTTTGAAAAAAAACCTGATAAGTATTTAAAAATGTATCTATTTGATATTTATATTAAAATTTAGTTATATTTAAACTTTTATTTTTTAGTTTTTCAAGTAGAAGGTAGAGGATAAGCTGAATTAGATTAATATAAGGTTTGTTATTTTAAGCTTCAAATATTTTAAATTAAATTTTAATATTTACTTTCTAAAAAATTAAATACTTTTTACTTCTTCATCCTCCTTTTTCACATAAATCTGCATCACTAAAAAAATTTGCCTTATTATCATTACTATCTAATACCAAAATACTATCAAATATCAAAAACCTCTCACTCTAACTGTTAACATTCTTTATTACTATCTCTAATTATTATCATTCCTTTTTCTTTTTTCATTTTTCTTTTTAAATTTTACATTTCTAATTTTCTGCTAAAAAAAAAATTATTTTTTCTAAACAAAGCTTATCATATCTATATAATATTTAATATCAACAGTTATAGATTAATCTATATCTGATTAAGAGCAATCATACTTTAATATTATAACTTTATTATATTTGTAATTTTATTTTTTATTTTTTTTTTATATATTATTATAAATACTTAAATAAATAAATAAAAATTATTATTGAATATTATAATTTATTAAATAAAAAGAATAGTAACAAATAGTATTAAAATAATTTTTCAATTAGTAATTTAATAATGCAGTATTTATAAAATTAGAAACTTTTGTATAGTCATAATTCATATAATTTTAATAGTAAATGATTATATAGAAAGATTTTCTATACAGTCATATCTCAATATAAAGTATGTGTATGATGTTTAATTTTATTATATAATAAAATATTTGAAATTTCAAAATTTAGATGAAATTATTTCAATTTCATCATATGACAAATCTTTTTAGAATTTCAAAATTTAAATTATAATAATAAAAGTATTTCAATTTTATCATATGTAGTGTGTAAAATTTATGTGCACAATGTGCACATATGCACATTAAATTTTTATGTGCACATATTACACAGCATAAAATGTGCACAAATAATTACTAAAAATAGATAAATTATATATAAAAATGGATAAATTATTTATAAAAATGGAAATACTATGTAATATGTACATTAATTTTCTATTTTTAATACAACTTGTGCACATGACTTTTGGTCTAAATTTTATACACTGATCATATGATGAAATATTTTAATTTTGTTTAGCATCATTAAGCTCTATACTATTTCCTTTACTTGTAAATCCTATTAAAATTTATGGTTTAAATTTATTTTTTACATTAACCAATATATATCACAATTACAGTTAGACCTCTATACAGTCACATCCAATATAGTCATATCTCTTTATAAGTACCTAATTTTATAGAACAGATTTTAATATTATTTAATTGCCTCTCTATAATCACAAATCAGATATAGTCACTATCACCTCATGACCCATAACATACATATCATTTTTATTAGTAATTAGACCTCTTTATAATCACAAATTTCTGGTTGGCTTATCAAATAAGTTATTAAAGTCTGCAAGTCCACAAAAGATATAATGATAAAATAGTTTAAAAATATAATAACTTAAAATATAACACTTAAATGTAATACAATAAAAAAGAATATAATTATAAAATATAACGCTTAAAAAATCATCATATTTCAGTATTTTCTTGTAATAATTTTTATTACATTTTTTTGTATTTATTTAGAGAATTTCATATAGTTGGTTTTTTCACATCAAGTATTGGTTATAATGCTATAAATCCTAAAATATTATTGTAGCTTTATAAAAAGCTCCTTTAAAAATTTTTTTAAAAAAACTTTTTTGTTTGACTAGTTTTTTATAATATTCAAATAACACCATTCAGCTATAAGTACTAATCTCAAACACTAAATTTGTAAATGAACAAAAAATAACAATAATAAAAAACATTCTGAAATTGTAGCCTATTTTAATGAAAAAACTCTACTTTAAATATTGATCGTAACACTATATCAAAAATATTAGCATAAAGTAAAAAATGGAATTCTGTATTAGAACCTTTAGGTTCTAAAGAAATTTTCAGAAATAGGAAGTCAAATTTCCAATACTTGATTATGCTATAAATTTATGGATAGAAAATGTAATGGCAAGTGACGTTATCTTAACAGATTTATTAATAAAAGAAAAGGCAAAGTTTTTTGCCAATGCATTTAATATACAAGAAAATGAGTTAGTTTTCTCTAATGGTTAGCTACATAAATTTAAAAAACGTAATAATATTCATAAGTATCATATGTATGAAATACACCATTAGCATCTCTTTTAGAAGAATGAAAAAAGTTACAATTACTTTTAGGTCAATATACTCTCGATCGAATTTATAATATTGATAAAATAATAAGTTTTTAATATATTTTTTATATTATATATGCTAATATAATATTTAATTTACTATTACTAAAAATAATATTAAAGGGTCTTTTTTATTGAATGTCACCTAATCAAATACTTTCTATTAAACCTGTTCATTGTCAAAAGAAAGACAAATCAAGAATTACAGTCCTTTTTAGTACTAATATAATAGGAATAGATAAGCTTAAACCATGGGTAATTGGTAATATAAAACATCCAAGACCTTTTTTAAAAATTAACTTGAACGTCTTTTAGTCTATTATCATGAAAATTCAAAAGCATAGATAAACTCTTTGATTTTTGAAGAGGTACTTCGTGAAATGGATAGTTATTTTAGAATACAAAATAAAAAAATTTTGCTTTTGATTGATAATACACTATCACATTTCAATTCATATTATTTACTAACTTTAGAAATTGAACAAGACGATTAAATAAGTCTGATAAAAATAATACTGATGAAGAAATAGAATTTACATTAATATTTGGTAAGTTGTTTTTTAAATTCAAAATTTATTTAAATTAATAATTAATAAATATTTATTGAATTATTTTTTTTTTAAAAAGGTCAAGATTATGGTAATAGATTAAGAGGTTATGGTGGTAAATCAAAAGGTTATGGTGGTAGATCAAAAGGTCATAGTGGTAGATCAAGAGGTCATAGTAGTAGATCAAAAGGTCGTGATAGTGGATCAAGAGGTTACAGTAATGAATCAAGAGGTTGTAATGATGAATTGAGAGGTTATGATGAACATCAACTTCAACTTATATATATTGAAATAGCTTTCTTATCTCTTAATACTACAAGTTATCTTTAACCGCTTGATACTGGAATTATTGCAAACTTTAAAAGTTATTTCAAAAGAAAATATTATCATCATATATTAGATCTCTTTAAAGATAGAAAAGATATTAACAAAGAAAAAATTAATATTAAAGAAGCAATAAACTATATTGCAGATACATAGAATTATGTAACTAAAGAAACAATACAGAATTGTTAGAAAAAAACTGGAATTTTATTTTCTTTAACTAATAAAGACATAGATGATACAATGCAAACTCAACAAGAGAAAAATGATGAAGAAGAAACAGATATTAATTAAATGATTAATGAACTTGATATAGATAATCTACATATTACTTTATTAGTGAATACATTAAATAATTTTTTTTAATAATTTAGAAGAAATTCTGACTGAAGATATTTTAGATGAAAATGATATTATAAAACTTATTCAAAATAAAACACTTGATGAAAATGAAAATAACAACTCTGAAGAAAAATAAATATTAGTGTCTTTGAGCGATGCTCTCAAATCTTTACAAATATGAATTACATTTTTTGAGCAATAACAAATAGATGAATTCTATGTAAAGGATATAAATATCTTTAACAAGTATTTTAAAATAGTTAGATGACTTAAATTGCAATCTCAAAAGCAAGTTCCAATTACAAATTTTTTTTAGTATTCAATTAATATATAAGTAATAAGTAAATAGCATTTATACATAGCTTTTATATAACATTTAAATAATATTTAGTATATTATTATA